CCCCCCCCCTAAAAAAAAAAAAAAAAAAAAAAAAGAATTGTTTTATTTAACTTTATTTAGACCAGAGAGGGACAGAGCAAGAGAGAGAAGGTGAGAAAACAAGCCGCCAGATCTGGGACTCGAACCACGGCCAGCCATGTGGGAGTCCAGCACCCTTAACCACCAAGCCTCCTGCTGGCCTTGGGATTATTTAGTCTTAAATCAGTTTTCATTCTCTCTTCCCTGTGGCTTTAGCCCAAGTTCACCAGCCTGAATGGGGCCTCTGAGCAGTACTTCCTTTCAGTCATTCAACACTTACTGACTCCCGTCCTGTGTGCCTAGGTACCAAGGGCTGAACAGGGACGAAAACCTCTGCCTTCACGTAGCTGATAAATACACATGTTTAACTGCCGAGGGGCACTGGGCAATCCTGTCAGGACTGTGGGCATGCACGCACACATGCCCGGTACGTTTTCCAGTTGCTGGTGCTGGGATTCAAACCGCAGTCTGTCATACTGGATCTGGCTCCCAGTGTACAGTGCTTAAACCACTGTGCTACACGGCCAGCCCTGGAACTTATTCTTAAAGCCGGTTCTCAACTGCTCAGGCTCGTTCTCATAGTTCTGTTCTGCCCACTCCACATAAAGACTGACTCGCTACAATGACCTTGTAATGTGACAATGTCTGTCGCATGCCTGGCACTGTACCAGACTCCAGGGATAAACTGGAGAACAGACACACGGTCCCCACCTTCACCGCACTTACAGTCCAACCTCATCTCTCACCACACACCTCTGGGGCCAGCCGGGCTAGCCTGCCTTTCTCCAAACACTTCCACTCTTTCGGTATACGACAGGACTTTACGAAGTTCATGGAAGGAACAGCAGATGGTGTAATGGTTATGCTGCTGGACTCCCACATTGTCGTCGACCATGGTTCAAGTCCCAGACCCAGTAGCTTAAAATTTACACCGGGTACACGCACATGCGTGCCCAAGATTCTGAGAGGAGAGTGGAAGAGAAGGGACTGTTCCATAACCATCCGCCCAGGGGGTGATTTCTCACTTTTTGTCTCTGTCTCTCCAGTGTGCGCACATGCCCTATAGCAAAAATCTCTCTTTAAAACAAAAAAAGTTCATGGAGGGGCCAGCCAGAGGTGCGGTGGTAAAATACAATGCCCCGAGACTAACACACATGGGAAGGTCCTAGTTTGTACCAGAGACCTCCCTGAGTACACCGGCCACCTGACCATGACCCAGGGCTGGCTCAAGTTTGGGGTGCGTTGTTCTAGTAAGTCCTTGTTGGGGACTAGCAGATGGTATAATGGTTACATTGCTGGACTCCCACATGGCTGACCACGGTCTGAGTCCCAGACTCAGAGGCTTGAAAGTCATGCCAGGCGCACATGCATATGTGCCCCAAATCCCAAGGAAAGAACGGAGAAGGGACTGCAGTGTGGCCATCCCCCCTGGGGGGTGATCTCTTGCTTTCTGTCTCTCTGTCTCTCGGGCGAGCAGATGCACCCTTTAGCAAAAATCTCTATTTAAAAAAAAGAAGAAGAAGAAGACTTGGGACCAGCAGTTAGCGTAATGGCTATGTCGCTGCACTCCCATGTAGTCGACCGCGGTTTGCGTCCCGGACCCGGTGGCTTAAACTCATGCCGGGCGCGTGTGCGTGCGCGCCCAAGATCCCGAGAGGAGAATGGAGGAGAAGGGATTGCGGTGTGGCCATCCCCACTGGGTGGTGATTTCTCGCTTTCTGTCTCTCTGTCTCTCTCTGTCTATCTGGCAAGCACACACACCCTATAGTAAAAACCTCTCAAAAAAAAGAAAAAAAATATCTTATTGGGGGGCTAGCCCTGTGGCCTCATGTTAGGAAAGCCCGATGCCACATAGCTAGCTGTACTGTTTGAATCCCAGCCCCAGTGGCTTCAAAAATACTCCAGGCAGGACCAGCAGATGGCATAATAGTTATGCCACTAAACTCACATGTAGTCAACAGCAGTTTGAGTCCCAGACCTGGCAGCTTAATGCTCATACCAAGTACTTGTGTGTGCATGCCTAAAATCCCAAAGAGGAGAATGGAGAAGGAGCGGCAGCATGGCCATCCCTCCTGGGGGTGATTTCTCACTTTCTGTCTCTGTGGTGCACCCTATAGCAAAAATCTTTCAAAAAAAAAAAAAATAGAAAGAGGGGGTAACAGATGGCACTGGGGTTAAGTGCTGGACATTCCCACATGGCTGACCATGATTTGAGTCCTGGACCTGGTGCTTGCTTTCTCTCTCTCTCTCTCTGGTCAAATTAAAATAAATGAATGAATGAATTAATTAATTAAATAATTCTGATAGATAGATAGATAGAAATATAGATACTCCAGGCACGTATACATGGGTACCCAAAATCCTGACAAGGCTCAGAAAGGAAGGGATCCAGCATGACCATGTGCCATTAAGGTGTGCTCTTGCACACGCGCCCTCTCTCTCTCCCCCTCTCTCTCTCTCTCTCTCTCTTTCTCTCT